AAAACGCACTTGACATCGACATTGCACTCGCAGGAGCCGGAGGACACTCCGAAGCTTGTGTGCATTCTTTAGCGCAGATCGCGTAGCCAGTTTCATCCTTATAGCCCTACATGAGAAGCTTAATGCGCGCAATAACATGATCAACCTACGTGAATAGCGAATAGGCTCTGGTTGTTCGGGCAACGACAGCTCCCGACCACTTTTCCTTCAGACCAACGGCAGTCCGTGGGTTCACCGTAGTATGGCAAATCTGAGTCCTCCACTAGCCCGTCCATATCTGACACGAGCACACAGCAGTCACTACAGCAACCCGAATGATCCTTTCACCAATAGTCTGCCCCTGGTCGATGCTATCGTCATAAGACCTAATCAAAGAATTATTACAAATTCAATCAATGCAGTCTTATGGCTCAGTAACTCACATAGGCAGTTCGGTGATATTGAACCCGCTGCCCGAGACTATGAACAGAGCGATGAGAGGAATGATGGAGCACATGACGTATGCAAATACACTATATGGATAATTTAATCCCACTGACAGGTAACTGGAACTAACTGATAGCTCATCCACTATCAGCTCCCGTCCCGATTCCGTTCTCACACTCGAGGACTCCAGAAGTTCCGGTCAAAGATCTACGACATTTCAATATCTATTTCAGCTTTGGATCGAACAGATAGTAACGAGAATATTGTTGTCGTCCGTATCGTTCCCTCGCATCAAGGCGACCCGACATTAGCTCGACAAATGCATCCCAAGAATACACTGGGACCTCGAGCCAGATAGCTACCGAGCGCTCGATTCTCAATATTAGTTATACGTGATATACTTCATACCAGCGCTAGAGCATGCAAGCACAGGGAATAACTCGCACGTACGACATGCGTACATGCGTCACATGTACGTGGAGGCCTTTCTATAAATGCGTGCATGCTACAACGTATCCATTCTGAGAAGGGGGATTCCCCCTGGGGGAACTCTTTCAGGGGCCGGTTAATAGCACCTTGAATGCGCCGGCGACGTAAAAGCGAGGTCCGCAGCTTCTTTGGCGGGAGAGTGGGCGGAGACTGCTATTTCTATATGGTTGTTAGTGACCTCAACACGCGGGCTGATTCTTGGGACACCGCGTGACGTAGCAGGGTGACCTCACCAACTGCACATGCGTGCGGGTCTCCCGGACCCCGGAAGTTTCATCTCGGTAATCAATCGTACCATTCAAGAGTAGAGGCTCCTGAGGGGTTGTGCTCAGACAGTCTGAGTCAGACTGCCCGACGAATCACGCAGGTGCGGCCTCAATTTCTCCGCGAAACTACGAAGGATTCTCATCACTACATGCGAATACACGAACAAACCCGATGGAATAATATATCTTGACCTAGTTGCTGCGGAATTTAAGCTATCGGTAATAGTTGCGGAGCGAGCGGAGCTTATGTTACTGTGCACGAACACTCGTGTGCGTGCGTCCGTCCGTCCGCCCGTCCGACCGTTCGACCGTGCGTGAGCAAAAATTCCGACCCTACCAGGGCGATTCAGAGGACAAGCAGGGTATCATTCTGTCCCTCGTTGACTGCTCATCAGCGTTAAAATATAGCGAAAGTGTGGCCGTTGCTTTTCCCGCTTACTTTTGACGAAACGGTTCTTCACACAAGAGATGAACTATTAGTACGTTAGTGACCACGACTCTCAACCGAACGGCCTAGGGTCAGACCACACGTTGATCATTTTTCTCACATGTCTCTATAAGGAGACAGTGGTCGGCCACGTCGACGACGCCAGCCAACACCCGACAACCTTTTGTTTTTTAGTCACCCAATTTCCAAAATAATTTCAATAAGAACCCGCAGAATTCTTGATAAGAAGCTCAGCGAGCTCCGCCCCTTCGCACCGAAGACCTAGTTACTAAGTTACTAGGATATTGGTAGTCCTTGGGGTATGGACCAACCTCACTCCTCCCCAACACAAACACATCTGCCTGGTTTTTCACAGTGACCCAAATCAATACTAGTATGCTGTAACGCGGCCTAGATGGCAGTCAGCATCGGACATTGGTTGAACCGATGACGTTCTGAGAGTGCAACTATCATTAGGTTAACCCTCGCCGGTACCAACCGCTGAACGTATTAGAATATCAAATGCCAATTAGAGCGATCTCTGGAACAAATAGCAATGAACCACCGATTCATGATATCACTCCATGTGTCAATGGTGACGTCATATTATACATGTCACATTTTTCACGCGTGATTTGCAAAGCACGACGTATTGCGAGTTTTACGCGAAAATTTCGCGGCGAAATGCATGTAATCTAGAGGAAATTATTCTCTCTGCTCGCTGGTGACCCTTGAGTCCGGTGTGCTTGACCGGGCCTGGGTGCGTGGATATGAGTTTGCGTTCATGAAGATGAGTTCGCGTGCAAGGCTTTATCCAGAGACTTCACCCCGTATTATGAAGAGTCTGATCGATCGAGTATAACTGTGCTATAGTTCTATCATTATCTGAGTTATCTCAGCTCTTCTTCGCTTATTTATTTTCGTTCGGTTCGGTTAGAAGATCGGTTCTATCGACCTTCGGCTTAACTGTCTTGACTTACCTCCGTCTTATATTTGTGGTATCGATCGACAGTAACTAAATACCCTACAACGGGCTAGTGTCACTACTGTACCACTAAGTTAGCTGGTAAAACTACAAAAGCTGGAGTCGAGCTGGCTTATCTAGTTATAGCAGTGAGATATCGATTTTGGTACACCAGTCAAAAGGGAAACGAAGCGAACTATAGCGGAAATGGCGCCACTCGCATCACATAGAGGGTTGTCATATTGTGACTGGCGACATATAAAAGTCTTGTGTCTCCGGAACGAGGATTCGAACTCAGAGCTTTGGTATTTTATAACTGAGCCCCCAGGGGAGATGTACTGCAAGAGGGGACAAGCTTCTCTTTTTTGGAGACAGAGTTATACACGTTTGACATGGTAGATTATCACAAGCGAAACGTTCATCAACAGCCTTAATAACCAGTCAAATAAACAGAGCCCGCAGAGGAACGGGCGGAACAATAGTACATACTAATAGCTATACTGCAGTGCGAAGGTGTACAAACGGGGCAAAGTTAGTGATTAAGTGTACTTGGAGTAGCGGTGGCAATTACAGGCGCATCTTGAAACGATGGATGTGCACAGAAAATATTTTACGCGTCAAAGACATATATATCTTGTCCTCTCGGATAGCTTGCCCGTTCTCAACTCATGTCGTTCGAATCCTGTCGTCAGCGTTTCGGGAAGCTCCGCTCCGCCGCCGGCTCTTCGCGCACGCCCTACTAAATAACGCAACTAACCTCGGGTTGTCGCCAATATGAGCTCCCTCAGTAGAGCTTGTCGAGTCGCAGCTTACTCCTCCCCGTTGTTACACAGAGGACTCATCACTACCTCTCGAGTGGCCCGTGGTGGTATGGGATCTGGCTTTGGTACGGTCATCATCATCATAATCACGCAGCTCCACTGCTATCTCCACTTAGGTACAAGCTATGCTCATGACCCTAAGTGGATCGAGGATTGGATGGCTAGGAAGCGTGTTGGTGTCGATCGCATGGGTGGGGTGTTTTTACCCGCGTCACATCGTCCTCACATTATCTCCCTTTAGATTGGTTTTTCCGAACCTTTAATCGTCTGCGTCTCTACGAGTTATTCTTCAAGTCAACTCCGAGGTGAGTTTGCCACTTTAAGTTGTTGTATTCTTCCTGTGTGAGGTTCTATGCATTTATGGTAATTGGTGGCTTACTCGGCTCCTACTATTGGAGCCGCTTCTGGGAGCAGTATTGGATTCGGGTTAACAAAGGGGTAAGTCCGTATTATTGGTTTCACCCCTCTCGTATAATCATTCGATTCTCATCCTCGGCATCTTGCGTTTGCTAGTTTCATCCGCGTTTCCCTCTGACCGACCTGATTCGTATCTTCCTATCATCGACCTCAGTCGTATCTTCCTATGACCGACCTCAGGCGTATCTTCCTATGATCAACCTCGTTCGTATCTTTCTATGATCGACCTCAGTCGTATCTTCCTCTGATCAACCTCGTTCGTATCTTTCTATGATCGACCTCAGTCGTATCTTCCTCTGATCAACCTCGTTCGTATCTTTCTATGATCGACCTCATTCGTATCCTCCTATGATCGACCTCAGTCGTATCTTTCTATGATCGACCTCATTCGTATCTTCCTATGATCGACCTCAGTCGTATCTTCCTATGACCGACCTCAGTCGTATCTTTCTATGATCGACCTCAGTCGTATCTTCAAATGACCGACCTCAGTCGTATCTTTCTATGATCGACCTCAGTCGTATCTTCCTCTGATCAACCTCGTTCGTATCTTTCTATGATCGACCTCATTCGTATCTTCCTATGATCGACCTCAGTCGTATCTTTCTATGATCGACCTCAGTAGTATCTTTCTATGATGGACCTCATTTTGTATCTCTCCCTCAGCGACTTTACAAAGACGTGCCATACGTGTATCCCCCACAAGAAGAATAATCAATGAGGCTCCGATAGGAAACCAAGTGAGGCAAATAATTGGTCGATTTGATTTACTCCAATTCTTCGGGTAGGTACAGCATACAGTATGTCACTGGATGCATCTCGTAGTGTTATGACGACACTATTGAGAATCTACACGCAAATTTTGAGCTCTTACAAAATCGACATGTTGTGTTATCATAGTTGACTTCAGTACTTTTCTGAAGAAGTGTGGTATTGGAGTTTTATCCGCGATGTGAAAAAAGCTCACGAGAAAAAATATTTCACAATTCACTTCGCGAAGTAATGTTTTACACGTGAAGTCATGCGC